GAGTGGTGTATGAACAGTGGTGTATGATGAGTGGTGTATGATGAGTGGTGTATGATGAGTGGTGTATGATGAGTGGTGTTTGATGAGTGGTGTATGATGAGTGGTGGTTGAACAGCTGTTGAATGTCCGTAACACGGAAGTTTTGCACACTAAACTTCCTTTGATCATGTGCCTCATGTATCCTGCACGGCTCAATTCGTCTCAAACGCCGACAAAGGCTAGCTGGCAGGGGATGTGCACCAGTTTTTGTTCCAACAGCAATCAGAGGAAGAGCCTTTCTGCTTGACAAACGCCCTCACTTGGGGGATTATGATAGCAGCACCAACTCTCTGGTGTCTATTGGCAGAAGATCATGGAACAATAGGTGTAAAACACATCAGTGGACTCACCTGATGCTCCAAACTCAGAGCCTCCAGTGCATGGTCCCTTGGAACAAAGATCGGAAAAGGTCCATATTTTGCAGCTCTCTGATTTACAACTGTCTACTTCACGTGCGCAAACAATTCAATCTCAACGTCCAACCAAATGGTCCGTCTTAAAGTGATACATGTGAACACCATTGAAAACCCAATGCTGCTGCTAAAGAAAATGTTGACATACAGTGACATACCCAACAACCCATTGGTTCACTGTTCACCGTGTGCGATCCTTCGCTATGGGCCCTGAAAGGCCCCGAGTGGGCCCTGCGGGCCATCCCTGAAGGAAGCTGAGGGCCTCCCTCTCATTGTCTTCCACATGCTGAGTGACTCTGTACTCCAGCAAGTCGTTGTGGTCGGCAGCTTGGTACCACTCGCAGAGGACGATTGCAGAAAAAATGCACATGGTGAAGGAGTCGTTGAAGATGAGCCTCGACTTCGGAGCTGAAAACAGATGGGTCAAATGGGTGCCAAACACACGCGGGGGGGGCTTAGGCCGGTAGAAGAGGGAGGTAGTAGCTAGAGGTAGGTAGCCTAGAAGAGGTAGCTAGTACCTTACTTAAGCTACTAGCATGGACGCAGGATAGCTCACGCACTATTCGTTTGGTTCCTAGGTTTTAGGGAAACTCAACTATAAATAATCTATATACTGTTCATTGGGTTCCTTTCTTGCGACCGTCTCAACGCCGTCCGATGAAACCTAAGGACCTAGCTGACTTTGGCAACATGCTATATTGCTCACCGAAAGAGACAATGAGCCACACCTGCGGCCCGCCAGGTGACCAGGCCACGACCAGCAGTTTTAGGCTCTTCATCCACCAACGACCAGTTCTTTTGTGGGGTGATTCAGCCACTAACTACTTGCAGCCAAACAAATGATGGAAGAACGAACTACAGTCATTCCCAGTTCCATTTGGAAGAAGTCGAAGTGGTGGAGAGTCACCTGAAAAAATATATACAAAGTCTTCCTGAAGCGGCAGATCCACAAGGTTTCATCATCCTTTTCCGCTTGCGACGTGAGCTGATCCGGCGGTGTGTAGAGCGACATGCCATTCATCGTTAAGACAAAGAAGGCAAAAAGGTAGACCCGTTGTAAGGCAATGGCCTCCCAGCACAGAGGTCCGAATGAGCCAAGAAGATGGATGACTGGCACAGAGGTGCCTACGGATCTCTTCTCATACAAGGACTCTAATATGTGTATATATATCTTATGTCTTACAGATCCAGTAGGTTCATCTGAGATACCTATACCAACCCCACCTAAGTGCTCCTGCCCTTCTCATGTCTTTATATATCATCAGTGACTCATCCAAAAAACGATCCTCACATTGCAAAGTCCAATGGATCCCGCTCAATTACAAACTTCTCGGCCCGTCGAGTGAGAATCAGAAAACGGGTTTATATAATTTGCTTTGTTTACCCTGGTTTACTGCATATCTTCGACATACTACTTGATATGACCACCTCGCCAAGAAAGCAAACTCTCTTCTCCCCTGAACCGGTCTACTTCGCACCGAAATAGCAACCCATTTCTGGTACATATGTTTTTTTCAATCCCAGTCAAATGGATTTGTCATAAAAGAAGGGAACTGACAAGGGCAACTAGGCCACCAACCCGGTGGGATCCAGGTGTAACCTGTTGTCTTCCCTTGCACCTCAGTTTTTTTATCCCCCTTTTTGGCGCCTGCGCGTAGCCAAACAGCTTGGTCGCCCAATATTTGTGGCGCACAATGTCCTTTCGCATGATGTGGTACACCGTCTGCCCAAGGACCTGGACTGGCAAGGAGATTGGTTGAACCAACACAGAGGTTGAGGCAGGATGGCTCAGCGGAGATCTACCATGGACCAGCGACCGACCAGCAGACATAAAACTACTTTCTACCGCTTCTACAAAAATACTTTTTTTTTGTGTGCCACTGTCGAAGGGTAGTGAGACGCCTGTTGTTGGATTAGCTGAGGGGTTCGTGATGGCTACACGCTACACGCACAGAAATTACAGTAAACATAATACAACAATGTCACCAGTAAGTGCAGCAAAGTACTTTGTCAGCTCACCGCCAAGCCAGTTTAACACACAGGTGAAGTTCACGCTGCAAACTTGAGTTCAGCATTGCGTTGCCCATTTCGTTCGCACTTGCCTATCAAAAGCTGGACGGACCGCCTTTGAGAAAACGCGTGGCCGCGGTGCCTTCATTGGCACCATCCTTTCGTTGCTTCGCGGACTTCGTTGGCCATGCTACCATCTCCGCAGCACATCAAAAAAATGCAGGCTGGTGCGGCTAGATGCTCATATCAGTTTAGTGCGTCTTCTGGACTTGAGACTCACTTACAGGCACTTTCATCCTTCCAACTATCTAGAGGGAGAGGAAGATTCAGCTAGAAACATCTAGCTTACCTAGTAAGAACAAAAAGCTGCGAAAAGAAATCAACATCTTCCGACCACCCGAACGCGAAATGATCAGCCATGGCTCATAAGCCATCGCGATCCCATAGGCGATTGCCAACATCCGGATGCCCGGCGTGGGGGACTTGCAGGCCAAAGCAGTCCCTGTGATGATCTGCCCCAGCATGGCCGTCACCTGTGATGATCAGAACAAACTGCAGCACAAATGGAAAGAATCTTCTGTCAGCTGGTTCTCAGAGCAGCCCTTGTTCTATACAGATTGAGAGAACTTAGGTTGGTGTCAATATATACATGTCAATACTGTTGAGTCATGGCAAATGGAGCAAAAAGATGACGAGGGCCGCCGTCTTTGGACTTGAACAAGCTTGCGCATGGAGTTAGACTGATTCAGGACTATATAGTTGTCCTCTGACTCTCAGACTGACAAGGACCATGACTGAGCATGGCCCCGAACAGTGATGTACTTGTCATAGCTACCATCATTTCCTCAAAGCGCGCTTCGCCTGCACTCGGCCGTTCCATCGGTGGATCCACAAATGCTTGGCGCGGATGGACTTCATGAGTTGCAGCCAGCTCAGATTCCACCAGACGATGGCGGAAAAGACATGCGGAGCAAACCACATCCATCTGCCCGGGCACGGAGACATGTCAGGGATGACACGACAAACAAACAGGCTTGACTTGGATAAAATGTTTCGTCAGCTGGTTTCAAACGATCAAGCCTAAGCCAAACTCCCACGTTGTGTTTCTTTTGTAGGTTCTCTTTGAGCAATGAGACATGGTTCATGCCTGGTTTTACCAGAAAATAGAATTCCAGACTTGTCGCATCTTCCCAACCTATATCAACCTATCTCAGACTAAAAGTCACTTGAAACCAGCTAAATTTCCTGACAAAAGCCGGCCTCGGTCCATAGTAGCTGAGCTCCTCTCTTCCTCAGAGGCAATTCCCGCTGCCAGAATCCCTGTCAGCTCTGTGTCACAATGTATGTTCAGAAGAAGCAGTTACATTCACCTCGACTTTAGCCTCAAGGCCAAAAAAACAATGTAAATCAACCAAGGTTTGTACCTACAAGTAGGGTTTGCACCGATCGGTCACGGTCGAAAAATATCGTTGAGATGGTGCAGCAGAGCCTCGAAAGAAGTGGTCGCCAAACGGGCCGACATCGTGCTCAGATGCCTTGTATGCATAGGCCCGATCCGGGAAGTGCTTGAGAAAAAGCAGGTTCAACAGCGACCTCAAAGTCAGGATGCAAAATGGTGCAGGAAAGCGGAAAGTGCATGCAAAACGAAATGCTTAATATTGTTATTGTTTGTTTGGGTGATACCCAGTTTCACACTGTGGGCAAAAAGCGCGTCTGCGAATGTATTTGCACCGTGTGCACACATGCGCCACTTGCACAATGCAAGTTCAAGCGATGGTGTGTTTTGTATCAAGTGTTCCGAGCTTCCCATATCTATGAAAGCCTACAGACACTAGACCAGCGACACGAACAGGCTTGCTACTTGAGAGGTGCAATGCGACAGAAATTAGCAAGAAAAAGTGCACCAAATGGATGGGGGATTGTAGAACCTGTTGCACAAGCTCGATCAAGTATGATCAAGTGACATTAACCAGACGAAGAATATGCAAGTAACGATGTAGGCAGCAGCGAGCACATCACCTCAAGCACCATAATGATGTTGATTTGACAAAAGTAAAGCACCCTGGAAGAAGGACCCTTAAACACCAGTTTAGCGTCTCATCACTTGTGAGATGCTCGAAGCTGAAGAAGCTGACACCAACCACCCAGACCACTTATAGTCGTCTATATGAATCCCTTGGGGGTCATTTCGGCCAAACATTGAGAAAGGCAGTTTCAACCCAAACGACTGAAACCTAACAGGAACAATTGCCTGCAACCAATGGTAGAGACTACCCTTCTTGTTCTGATTGCAATTGAACACTGGATACTGGCCAAAACAAGGGCTTCCTACAGCACATGTGAGCTCCATCACCTTAGGAAACCTACATCGAACCCGGTGGGTCACTGGTGGCTTCCTGAATCCGGCTGTCTATCATCGGGTTCAACGTCTGTCGGTTTTCGGTAGTGCATGTGAACCTCAGGCCCTGTCCGGATACTGGGAGATTGACCCAAAATTTATCCGTGCAATGTGCCTGGTTGAAGCTTCTTTTTACAGCAAATAATGGTCCAACAAAATGATCTTCGAGAGTGACAAGGCCCAAGGAGGAGCTCCATCATTACATAGATGGACTTTGTACTGGGTGAATGTTCCTGACACATTTTTGGTGAAGTGTGACTATACAGGACTATACATGTACCTTTGACCAGGATCGCCATCCAGCTGGCACAATTTCACCATACTTACGAGTGCCTGATCTTGTGGAAAAAATATCCGGACCTGAAAAGATTAGTTGCGTTTCACGATCTGTTTGACTCCTACTGAATGGTCAAGCAGATTTCCACTAAACCCATGTAAAACTCCTTCCAGTCACGGGTAGTCCAGCGGGAGCTCTGGGTGTTTGCTGCCATCGTCGCCGCAGAACTCTCGAGCCGTGTCTCGTCTTCCGTCGGTTGCACGCGTGAACGATCTCTTGGCCACACGGCCCAGGCCCAGTCCACTGCCCAGTGGGTCTCTCAATTCCGCAACCCTCTGTCTGGTTGGACGTCCCCAACTCCGAAACACTGTTTTGTATGGGGGTCCGGGGTTCTTCGAGAGCTTCGCCAAGCGCAACACCAACTTGCCAGTAAGCAAATGTGTTCATATTTCATGAGGCCGATACTACTAGGAGCAAAGGGCATCGCTACTAGGAGCAAGGACGCTACTAGGGGCTCCTGGCATCGCTACTAGGAGCAAGAAGCTACTAG